GATTAATTTTAGACATACCGTGATTTATTAATTTTTATGCTTTATCTATCCGCTTTTAATTATTAAAATATATAATTATCTTTGAAACGGATCACATGTATGTAAATCCGTTTTATTTAGTGCGCTAAAATTATGTCACGCGTATGTGTACATAATTAATCACGCTTTAATAATTATGAAGATTGTTTTTGGCCAAAGTCGCGCGAACACATACCCTGATTTATTTTTGGGAATCATAATTATGTCACGCGAACGTGTACATAATCAAGATAATAAATTTAAAACGCACTTAAAGTACTCTAACGATGTTCATAAATCCATTATCTACCTAAATTTGAGATTATTGTAAAAGGCCATAGATTATGAAATTTAATGTGAATAAAGAAAATTAGCCGAAATTATCTTCTTAGCATTTGAGATAGGCCCGCATCCTCCAGTAAACAAGACATCAATTTGTCTTTACATTCATAATCATTTTTAAATGGACATTTGAATTAATCAGTACAAGGCTACAAACATAAGAAATGCGCAAATATGGTTATCAAATATTAGATCAATTCATACTATTATATATACAAAATTACTTCATGAATTCTAACTCAAACTTCACAAAGTTGATTAATTCCCTCAAATATTCATCCGGGCAGTACTTAACAAGCTCCATCATTGGACAGTACCAGTCGAATATCAGACCTTCAACACAAACATATCTAGATAAAATTCAGGCCACCTTTACAAATTCACCAGAATGCCAACAAACAGAAATCCTAACAAATGGCTAAATATATTCTAATGCCAACAAGCACAAAATCAGCTTTTAAGTATACCCACTTTTAAGACATGAACATTCACATAGATATAAAGACTTAATGAAATACTTGCTCAACCAAAATCACGAAATCAAATTAGGAAGACATGATACATATGTAAAAGAAATAGACCTTTATTACTGAAATCTGAATTTTAAAGGCTTGCAATTCAACAATCGAACCAAATACCAGCGAGTCAGTGACCATGACAGGAAACTAGCGACGGCGAATTCGACTCGATTCGGCAACTTTAGCTACGGTGTTTGGAGGTGGAAGACTGATTTTTAGGACTGTTTTTCAGTTGATTTGCAGTAGTTTTGGAGCTGGATTTTGGTGTAAACTTCAGCTCGTTTCATGACTATTTAGTGGCGGAATTTCAGCTGGGTTTTCTAGGTCGTTTTTGAAGCTATTTTAGGGAATGTTTTTCAACTCATTTTGGAGCTATTTTGGAGGTGATTTTGAGCAGATTTTGTGGCTTTTTAGCTTCTGTTTTGAACTAATTTTTGCTGGGGTTTTGATGTGGAAACAGGGCTGGTTTATGGACTATTTTTTTGGATTGGGTTTTGAGTGAGAAAGCAGTGCGTTTCAGCTGCATTTTTGGGTGGATTTGGACTGATTTTCAGAGCTGGTTAGGAGGTATTTTTGGAGTCTTTTTGTTGGTTCAATTGCTGGAATTTTTCATGCTTGTTCTTAGAGGAAGAAAATGATTGAGCTCCTCCCCTTGAGGGGCTCCTTTGGTCCGTTTTTGATGAAGAAGAAAGGAGTTAGGGGTTGTGAGTGGGGGACCAACATGGGGGGACAAGAGAAAGTGGAGTGGAATAAAGAGTGGGGGGCAAGCATGGGGACAAGAGAAAGTGAAGTGGGGACAAAGTGTGGGGGATAAAGAGTGAAAACACGCGTGGGAAGATGGGAGCGGGAAAAATTCAAGCACGGTCAAAAGTTAGGTGCTCACACCATTATTTATGTACTGGACTGTACCTGCAGAACTCGTCACTACTTTCAGCCCAGAGGTTAGTCTTATTACTTATTGAGTTAGTTGTACTCATACTACACTCTGCACCTCGTGTGCAGATTTAGGTGCTTTCGGACACGGCGACTGTTAGATCTTAGAGTGCTATCAGTTGGAGGCTATCAAGGTAGTTGTCTGGCGTCCGCTGACCTTGACTCTCTTTCCTTCAGTTATTGTATTGTTCTATATTTTCAGACAGTGCTTTATCAGTCAGACTTTGTATTCATATTAGATGTCCATGTATTTAGTGACACAGGATTTTGGGAGTATTTATATCTATATTTTTGAGATTTTTTCCGTTGAATTTAAATGTTATATTTTCAAATTAAAAAGATATGGTGTTTTGTTGAGATTGTCGGCTTGCCTAGTATTGAGATAGAGGCCATCACGACAGGTAAGATTTTGGGTCGTGACAAATACTCAAAACGACCGGTCGGGTCGTTATAGATGACCTGCGAGTCCAACATCACCTCCCCTTCCTCTCCTTGAGTTTCACCACTGAACTTACACTCCAAGTAACTGCGCGTTCACACCGCCTCGTGTTTCGTCAATCAATACAATATCATTCTCACCACGGCACCTCCCCTTGGATGTGACGTGTTAGTACATCCATCGCCAGGACAAACAAAAAAGGGCTGAGTGTCGACCCCTGATGCAACCCCATCATAACCGGAAAATAGTCCGAGTCCCCACCCACCGTCCTCACTCGGGTCTTTGCTCCATCATACATGTCCTTAATCACCCTAACTAAGCAACATGTACACCTCTAGCCTCCAAACATCTCTACAAAGCCTCTACCCTAACTTGAATAGCCCGGCATTGTGATTTTATAGGGCTTTTATCACTTTTTGCTCACGCCAGAAACTATTTATATTCGGTAGCCGAAAAGTATATAAAATTTGTATAGTTTGTATAATTTGTATATAATATACAGAATGTGTGTGTATATATNTATTGCTTTCCTAACTATTTCAATTTGCATAAAAGAAGTATTTCCTACGTTAGTATCCAAGCAACGAAGTTTGAACAAGTATCAAAAGTTAACTTTGGATTATATTCCAGTTAACTAGAAGGAGAAAAATGAATATATTCCTTGCGAATATTAAATGAAATAAAAGAAAACAAGAGAATTCCTAAATGTGAACAAACGTGAGTTCCGACGATCTTACAAATTAGAGTGAACAACTCAATGATTTCCTGAAATATTGATGAACTAATTAAATATAATCGACCAGAACTAATACCTGTATCTTTATATTTAATATTTGTTGTACGTTTATTCCTCCACGTAACATATTATATATTCAGCATTACGTTACTACGAAGAAATCACCAAAGGAAAAATATAACGTAAGGGAAGCACCATATAAATTTATAATTGAAAGAGGAACTAATGCAAGCTAAGTCTTCTTAAGAATAATATAGTAGATTTTAATATATTCTCTAATCGAAATAAACTGGGGGAAAGACTTAGCAATCTTACAGAATCCGTGACACAGATCTCCATGATTGAAAAATTGAAGCGATTTCAGTCAAAATTTAATTAGATCTAGTTGACTTATAGTTTGTAGAATTAATAATGAATTAATTAGATCTGAATGAATAGATTTGTTAATGTGAACAGACTCAACTTGCAGTAGTCATATATTCAAATTAACTTAGATAACCCACCGATATCACAAATTAGTGCCAGAGCATTAATATGTACAGTTAACAACATTGTAAAGTAGTTTTATTCAAATGAAACTTTGTCTACACTGCTTTTACCGTAAATATTCATTGCAGATAAAAAAAGAGAACATCCAGCCTTTCAACAAGTCAACAACTCTTCCCCCTAAGCAATTCTGTCAAAGATTCATGTTGCGTTCTGCCGTTTTATAATTGGATTAAAGTTATATACGCGAAAATAAATATCTTTCACATAATCTGTGTAATTTAACTTATTATAATAAATTAGTGATAATTTGTATCATATTATCAATTAATATTTGTCATAAAAGTTACTACTAGTAATTATCTTATAAGTAATTTGATTATAAAAATATTTTTTATACGCACATAGAACCTATTATAACAGGGGTTTGTTTCCGCTTCTCTGTCACATGGATGATGGATGTGACCTGGCAATGTAAACTCATTGTTTCTACTTGCAGAACTATATATATATAATAATACTGTTTGTGTCTCAATTTATGTGTCATATTTTATTTTTAATTTGTTTCAAAAAGATATTATACTTTCTTATTTAGATTCAATTCAACTTTAAACTTTTCACTTTATTCTTAATAAGATAATTTATAGTCACATAAATTTTTATGACTTTTTTAGATCATAAATTTTAAAAATCTTTATTCTTTTCTTAAATTCTGTATCTTGTCAAACACACACCCACAAATTGGGACAAATAGAGCAACATATTCACGACTAGTTGTCTAGATGGCCCTCTAAAATAGATGGCACCATATTTAATTACGTTCTAGAGAAGTATTCTTGTTATTGAGGTTATAAAACGGTTCCTAATTAGTCGTTTAAGAAGTAAATAAATTTATTTGATTAATCGCCAACTATTAAAACAACGTTATTAACCTGATCCTTTAATCAAGAGACGACTGGATTATATTGGATAATCGTTCTGTGATATTAGTTACTGATAGTTTATCGACCACTCAGTCGCTAGGATTTAGCTCAATTCACTGAACACACTTGTTGTAATGATTGATTTACTACAGTTTCAGTCGATTGCATAAAATGGTCCTTCTCCCTCTTATCAGTTAAAGAATTATTTTAAGCTCTACGCACATGTAAAAACATTTATACAATTAATTAATCATTTAAAAACTAATTGTATCCTGTAGGTGACCTTTAATTCGTGACCTAAGATAAATGATAAGTAACATGTTATTATAACATATTAAATTGTAATTTTTTTAATAGTTTTAGTTTATGTATAACTTAAATACTTAGAGAATTTCGCAATCCATTTTTCAAGACAACTGAGAATTAATGGCAAAAATTACATGTATATTTCCTTTCCGGCTCTCTAAACAATGTGAGCTGGTGGAAAGGCTTTGCATAAATTTACAGCTCTTGCATAACAAGAGGAAAAAATATTAAAAGAAAAAACACTAAGCTCTAATCTAGATATATGTCGAATCAAATGCTGCATATCAAATATCTTCATATCATAAAGTAGTGTTCAATCGAGAAGTGAGATGAAAAAATGCATCCTCATTGCAAGGTAAAGTGAGACCACCCATAGGATGTTGAAACCCAAACTCTTCTTCTGCTTTCCTAAGCAATTCCTGAAACGAAGCGTGATTTAAGTATGCAATTGGAACCACGTACCGTTTCTTCTCTGTTTCTCCCACATAAACTGCAAAATGTCCTTTTGGAACATCTGAATGATTCCTAGTCAGAACAGAGTGCAGTTTGTGGAATTGTTTGACATTGGAAATCATAGATGGCAAACGAATAATTCCCATGACTTGTTGATATATATTGAACGTAACTATATATTGTTGTGATTGAAGTGGAACTTGTTGAGGTGAATGAACTATTGGTATTTGATTTGAAAACTTGTTCTTGTTCTGAAGTAATTTGCACTGGAAATGTTATATTTATATTGGCTGGTTACATATGTTGCCACCGCAAGTCAGCTGTCCTTATGGAACACTATTGATCTCATGTGAGAGAGGTCCTACTTCACATGGCTTTGCTCATATTTCTAAGAAAAAATATATTAACATACCCAATTCCATGTGAATGATTAAGAAATTATTGCATTGTGAGTTTGCTATAGTTCCAAAGCGTAAACAATGATCCCTTTGCGGCATGAATATAATTACTTGGAGTTGGAGAATTTCTTGTAACGATCAGGCCGGTCGTTTTGACTATTGCAATCTCTTTCCCCATTTACTGTTCAAATTATGAATTACAGTTGTTATTTGGCTTGTCGGGGTAATTGGTTTGGGTCTGGTGAGGTTTTGAAATGATTTGGAGCACTTAGTTCTAAGGTTTAGAATTTAAGTTGAAAAGGTTGACCTGATATTGACTTATGTGTAACGACCCCGGAGAAATTTTGCTAAGAAAATTAAGGTTTGGTGTAGCTCGCCGCGGCTCGGACTTTTTGGGTTAAACAATGCACCGATGTGTAAAGGAAAATTTTGTTGGAAAAAGGGTCATTTCTGCGACCACTATGTGGTCGCAGAATCACTCTGCGGACCGCATAATGATCGCAAAGTGGATCAGGAGAGGGGCAAGATTTGAGAAAAATCTGCAGTGCACTATGCGAACGCAGACCTGTTTTACGGTGCATTATGCGACCGTAGAACAAGTATGCGGGCCGCATAATGATCGCAAAGTGGATCAGGAGAGGGGCAAGATTTGAGAAAAATCTGCAGTGCACTATGCGAACGCAGACCTGTTTTACGGTGCATTATGCGACCGTAGAACAAGTATGCGGGCCGCATAATGATCGCAGACCGGGTTAATAATGCCCAGCTTTGGAGGCCAAATTATGCGGCCGGTATGCGGACCGCATACCTGTTATGTGATCGCATAACTGCGTCGGAGCTTCCATTCTTTCTAAATTTTGACCCGACCCAATTTCGATTTATAGCCCTTGTAGCTCATTTTTGAGTCAAAATCTGATATTATAGAGAGAGGTGAGAGCATTTTAGAGAGAGAAAGCGAAGACTTAGTCATTTATCCATCAATTCTTATTCAAGCTTTGAAGATTTCACAAGGATCTTGCTAGGGCTTCAAAGAGGTAAGAATTTCTTTCCCTAATTCTTCAATTTCGGGTTTGGAGTAAAGATGGGTGAATAATAGTATGATTCTTGGGTGTAAGAGTATTATGTATACATAACAATAAGGTTGTGGAAAGATTGTTAAGTACAAATGGGTAAAGATTGGGTTGAAAATGGTAGAAATATTCATAGACTTTAATTAAAGATTTGAGGGTCGAGTTGATATCGAAATTTGGTGAAATTTATACGGTTGGATTCGTAGTTGGATGAGCGTTCATACTTTGTAACTTTTGTCGGATTCCGATGCGTGGGTCCCACAGGCGAGTTTTGAGTTAATTACGGATTTTATTGATAAAATAGTATTTTCTTACGGAATTAATTACAATAAATGGTATTGACTGTATCGAATTAATTGTGGCTAGATACGAGACTTTCAGAGTCAAATTCTCGTGGCAAGGGCATAGCGGAATAAAGAATTACACGGTTTGAGATAAGTAACAGTTCTAAATTTGGCCCTGAGGGTATAAAACCCTGGATTATGTGTTATGTGATTGGTTTTGAAGTGACGCACATGCTAGGTGACGGGCGTGTGGGCGTGCACCGTAGGAATTGTGACTTGGTCAAATTCCATGGGACTGTATAGTTGAAAAATCTATTGATATCCGTACATCCTCTACGTGTTAGAGAAAATTGAGCTGAGACTCGTATCAAAAATCATGCTTAGGCATATGTTGTTATTGTTGGTACCCACTGGGGTCATTTTTGTGATTGAATTATATGCTCAAATTTTAATTTCACACTTAGTCATGTTCATTCATTTCATATCATATCTCAGTCTCTGTTGCTATTTATTGATGCATCATATCATTGTTGTTGGGCTACTTATCATTATTTCTGAGAGCCCGAGAGACTAGAGAGGTTGATGACTGAGTGAGGTCGAGTGCCTAATTGTGAGGATATTTATGGGATCGGGTTGCATGCCGCAACATATTTTATTGATTTATGCCATGATTGTCTTGATATAGCGCTTGGGCTGAAGGATCCCCTCTGGAGTCTGTACACACCCCTAGTGAGCGCATGTACCTACTGAGTGCAGAGTGATGAGTGACTGTGAGGAAAGAGTGACTGTGAGGTTGGAGTGATTGGGAGGACTGAGTGACTGTTACTCTGAGAGGATGCATTGATTTCATAATTGCTGCATTTCAGCTGTCATATATTACTATTTTGGAAATTTCGAAAAAAAATATATATTATTTTCTGTTTCTGTTAACCTTGATATGAAATTTCAGTGAAATCTTAAATGTTGAACTGAGTGCATGCCTACTCTTTTATATTGAAAAGTATTGTATTTGGACGTACTTGAGAAATACGTCACTACTTTCAGTTCTTTATTTATTATTGTTACTTACTGAGTTGGTTGCACTCATACTATAACCTGCACTTCGTGTGCAGATCCAGGTAATCCTGGATACAGTGGGTGTTGATTGTTTTGCACAGTCGATTTTCCGGAGATTCAGAGGTAGCTGCCATGTTTCGCAGACCTTGTCTCTCCTTCCCTATCCTTTTGTTATTGTATTTGGTCTCGGATTATTATTATAGACCAGATTTTTCCCAGACTTGTAATGTATAAATGCTCATGTACTTAGTGACACCAGGTTTTGGGTGTGTGTGTTTATTTCTAATGTTTGTGGAATTTACTCTTAAACTTAATTATTATGTTTTCAATGTTAAAAAGAAATTGTGGGTTATTGATGTTATCGGTTTGCCTAGTATCGAGATAGGCGCTATCACGACGGGTGAGATTTTGGGGCGTGACAAGTTGGTATCAGAGCCTAGGTTACATAGGTCTCACGAGTCATGAGCAGGTTTAGTAGAGTCTTGCAGATCGGCACGGAGACGTCTGTACTTATCTTCGAGAGGTTGCCAAACCTTTAGAAAAATTTCACTTTCTTGTAATCTATCGTGCGAACTTGTTGATTCCGGAAAACTAAAATTCTGTTATTATGTTCTCTCACATATTGTGAGAACACCTACTACCGGATCGGACAGTCAGCCACCAGTGCCACCAATTAGGGCCGCGAGAGCCCGAGGTCGTGGTAGAGGCCGGGGCCGAGGTAGAGGTCGAGGTGTCGCTCGTACAGCAGTTGGAGAAGCACCTCTAGCACCACCATTTTCTCTAGCTCAGGAGCAGATTCCAAATGTAGTTGAGCCGGTGGAACCCGCTCAGGCACCAGCTGTGCCCATTGAGATTCCAGGCCTACAAGAGGGTTTGACTCAAATATTGACAGTTTGCACTGGCCTTGCTCAGGTGGTTTCGGCTTAGGCCGCACCACCCACTTCTCAGGCCGCTGGAGGTACTCATACCCCTGTTGCCCGCGCTCCAGAGCAGGTAGTGCAGGGACTTCAGATACTAGGAGCACTACCAGCCCAGCCAGCTGCAACTACTGAGGCCCTAGTAGTCTCTGTTATGGCAGATGATGAGCAGAGGAGACTTGAGAGGTTTGGGAGGCTTCTACCTCCATCATTTAGCGGTGCTGAGTTAGAGGATGCTCAGGGTTTTCTTGATAAGTGCAAGCGGATGCTTCAGACAACAGGTATTTTGGAGACCAGTGGGGTCTCGTTCACTACTTTTCAGTTTTCTGGAGCTGCCTTCAGATGGTGGGAGACGTATGAGAGGCGCATGCAGGTCAGTGCAGTACCACTTACATGGCAGGAGTTCTCTATTCTCTTTTTGGAGAAGGTCGTGCCACAGTCTCGCAGAGAGGAGCTGCGCAGACAGTTTGAGCAGCTTCGGCAGGATGGCATGTCTGTGACCCAGTACAAGATGAGATTTTCTGAATTGGCTTGTCACGCAGTTTGGTTGGTTCCCACTAATAGGGAGAGGATTATGAAGTTCATTGATGGCCTCACATATCAGTTGCGGTTACTCATGACTCGGGAAAGAGTATCGGGTGCTACTTTTGATGAGGTAGTTGACATTGCTCGGTGGATAGAGGTGGTCCATAGTTAAGAACATGGAGAGAGGGAGGCCAAGAGGCCTCGTGGTCCAAGTGATTTCAGCGGTGTTCCTTCAGGGGGACAGATTTACCGCGGTAGGGGTCGTCCTTACAGACACGCTCAAACGAGTCATCCAGTTCACTGTGATGCATCATTCATCCATGGTTCATACAGTTCTCATCAGGGTCAGCCATCCCTCGGTGCCCTTCCAGCCCAGAGTTCGTCCCATGTCCCTTCAAGTCAGGGTTCATTTGCACCGCATGCTTCTAGCAGTTATTCTGGTTCTCGGGGCCCGATTCAGTCAGCACCACCACCAGTACCGGGGAGCTGCTTTGAGTGCGGGAAATTTGGGCATATATGAAGACAATGTCCTCGTCGCTCGGGAGGTCCAGTGCAGCAGAGAAGTCAGACTACGACTTCAACACCAGCTACTTCACCACCCGCCCAGCCAGCTCGGGTAGGGGTCAGGTAGCTAGGGGTCGCCCAAGAGGGGGAGACCGATCAAGGGGCGGTCATGCCCGATTCTATGATTTTCCTACCAGACCAGATGTTATTGCTTCAGATGTAGTGATCACAAGTATTGTCTCAGTGTGCCATAGTGAGGATTCTATATTATTTGACCCTGGTTCTACTTATTCATATGTGTCATCGTACTTTACTCATTATCTATATATGCCCCGTGAGCCCTTAGTTTTACCTGTTCGTGTATCTACGCCGGTGGGCGATACTATTATTGTGGACCATGTGTATCAGTCATGTGTGGTAACTATTGGGGACCTGGAGACTAGAGTTGATCTTCTATTGCTCAATATGGTTGATTTCGATGCAATTCTGGGTATGGATTGGTTGTCTCCATGTCATGCTATTCTGGACCGTCACGCAAAAATCGTGAAGTTGACCATGCCGGGGTTGCCAAAGGTTGAGTGGAAAGGTTCTCTAGATTATGTTCCTAGCAAGGTAATTTCTTATTTGAAAGCCCAACGTATGGTTGGGAAGGGGTGTTAGTCATACTTGGCTTTTGTGAGAGATGTTGATGCAGATACTCCTACTATTGATTCAGTACCGGTAGTGAGAAACTTTCTTGATGTATTTCCTGCAGACCTGCCGGGTATGCCGCCCGACAGGGATATTGATTTTGGTATTGACTTGGTGCAGGGTACTCAGCCCATTTCTATTCCTCCGTATCGTATGACACCAGCTGAGTTAAAAGAATTGAAAGAGCAACTTCAGGAACTTCTTGATAAGGGGTTTATTAGGCCTAGTGTATCGCCTTGGGGTGCACCGGTTCTGTTTGTGAAAAAGAAATATGGTACTATGCGGATGTGTATTGATTACAGGCAGTTGAACAAAGTTACAATCAAGAATAAGTATCCTTTGCCGCGTATTGATGATTTATTTGACCAACTTCAGGGAGCGAGGGTATTCTCCAAAATTGATTTGAGATCTGGGTACCACCAGTTGAAAATTCGGGATTCGGATATTCTAAAGATGGCATTCAGGACTCGTTAGGGTCACTATGAATTTCTTGTGATGTCGTTTGGGCTAACAAATGCCCCAGCAGCATTCATGCACTTGATGAACAGTATATTCCGATCATATCTTGACTCATTTGTCATAGTATTTATTGATGATATCCTGGTGTACTCGCGTAGCCAGGAGGAGCATGCACGACACTTGAGTATTGTACTACAAAGGCTGAGAGAGGAGAAACTTTATGCCAAATTCTATAAGTATGAGTTCTGGCTTAGTTCGGTAGCATTCTTGGGACACATAGTGTCCAGTGAAGGGATTAAGGTGGATCCGAAGAAAATAAAGGCAGTTAAGAGTTGGCCCAGGCCATCTTCAATTATTGAGATTCGGAGTTTTCTCGGCTTGGCTGGTTATTATCCTCGCTTCGTGGAGGGTTTCTTGTCTATTGCATCGCCTATGACTAAATAGACCCAGAAAGGTGCTCCGTTCAGGTGGTCGGATGAATGTGAAGAGATCTTTTAGAAGCTCAAGACAACTTTGACTACAGCTCCAGCATTGGTGTTGCCTACAGGTTCAGGGTCTTATACTGTGTATTGTGATACGTCACGTATTGGTCTCGGCGCAGTATTGATGCAAGACGGTAGGGTGATTGCCTATGCGTCCAGACAGTTAAAGGTATATGAGAAGAATTATCCAGTCTATGACCTTGAGTTAGCAGCTATTGTTCATGCCTTAAAAATTTGGCGGCATTACTTGTACAGTGTCCATTGTGAGGTTTATACCGATCACCAGAGTCTACAATATCTGTTTAAACAGAAGGATCTTAATTTGCGGCAGCGAAGGTGGTTGGAGTTACTTAAGGATTATGATATCACTATTCTTTATCATCCCGGAAAGGGTAATGTGGTAGCTGATGCCTTGAGTCGTAAGGCGGAGAGTTTGGGCAGCTTAGCATACTTACCGGTAACAGAGAGGCCTTTAGCCTTAGATGTTCAGGCCTTGGCCAATCAGTTTGTTAGATTGGATGTTTCTGAGCCGAATCGAGTTTTGGCTTGTGTGATTTCTCGGTCTTCTTTATATGATCGCATTAGAGAGCGCCAGTATGATGATCCCCATCTGCTTGTCCTTAAGGATATGGTTCAGCACTACGATGCCAAGGAAGTCACTATTGCAGATGACGGTGTATTATGGATGCAGGGTAGGCTATGTGTGCCTAATGTAGATGGTTTGCGTGAGTTGATTCTCCAAGAAGCTCACAGTTCGTGGTACTCTATTCATCCAGGTGCCACGAAGATGTATCAGGATTTGAGGCAGCATTATTGGTGGAGGCGAATAAAGAAAGATATAGTTGGGTTTGTAGCTCGGTGGTTAAATTGTCAACAAGTAAAGTACAAGCATCAGAGACCGGGAGGATTACTTCAGAGACTTGAAATTCCGGAGTGGAAATGGGAACACATTACCATGGACTTCATAGTTGAGCTTCCACGGACATTGAGGAAGTTTGATGGGGTTTGGGTGATTGTGGATCGGTTGACCAAATTCGCGCATTTTATTCTAGTTGGTACTAATTATTCTTCAGAGCGGTTGGGTGAGATTTATATCCGCGAGATTGTTCAACTACATGGTGTGCCAATGTCCACCATTTCAGATCGGGGAATGCAGTTTACATCACAGTTTTGGAGAGCAGTTACAACGAGAATTGGGCATACATGTTCAGATGAGTACAACATTTCATGCTCAGACAAACGGATAGTCCGAGCGCACTATTCAGATATTGGAGGATATGCTATGCGCTTGTGTCATTGATTTTGGAGGTTCTTGGGATAAATTTCTGTCACTTGCGGAGTTTGCTTACAATAACAGCTACCGGTCGAGTATACAGATGGCTCCGTATGAGGCATTATTTGGGAGACGGTGTCGATCTCCGGTTGGTTAGTTTGAGCTGGGTGAGGCTAGGCTATTGGGTACAGACTTGGTTCAGGATGCTTTGGAGAAGGTTAAAGTGATTCAGGAGCGGCTTCGCACGACGCAGTCTAGACAGAAGAGTTATGCCGACAGGAAGGTCCGTGATATAAATCAACAAAACATGCTACGACGTACAACCCGATCCCATAAATATCCTCATAATTAGGCACTCGGCCTCACTCAGTCATCAACCTCTCCAGTCTCTCGGGCTCTCAGAAATCATGATAAGCAGCCCAACAACAATGATATGATGCATCAATAAATAGCAATAGAGACTGAGATATTATATGAAATGAATGAACATGACTGAGTGTGACATTGCAATTTGAGCATATAATTCAACCACAAAAATGACCCCAGTGGGTACCAACAATAACAACATATGTCTAAGCATGATTTTTAATACGAGTCTCAGCTCAATTTTCTCTAACACGTAGAGGATGTACGGATATCAATAGATTTTTCAACTATACAGTCCGATAGAATTTGACCAAGTCACAATTCCTATGGTGCACGCCCACACGCCCGTCACCTAGCATGTGCGTCACTTCAAAACCAATCACATAACACATAATCCGGGGTTTTATACCCTCAGGACCAAATTTAGAACGGTTACTTACCTCAAACCGTGTAATTCTTTATTCCGCTATGCCCTTGCCACGAGAATTTGACTCTGAAAGCCTCGTATTTAGTCACAATTAATTCGATACAGTCAATACCATTTATTATAATTAATTCCGTAAGAAAATACTAATTTATCAATAAAATCCGTAATTAACTCAAAACTCGCCTGTGGGACCCACGCATCGGAATCCGATAAAAGTTACAAAGTATGAACGCTCATCCAACTACGAATCCAACCGTACAAATTTTATCAAATTTCGATATCAACTCGACCCTCAAATCTTTAATTAAAGTCTATGAATATTTCTACCATTTTCAAACCAATCTTTACCCATTTGAACTTAACAATCTTTCCACAACCTTATTGGTAATGTATACATAATACTCTTACACCCAAGAATCATACTATTATTCACCCATCTTTACTCCAAACTCGAAATTGAAGAATTAGGGAAAGAAATTCTTATCTCTTTGAGACCCTAGCAAGATCCTTGTGAAATCTTCAAAGCTTGAACAAGAATTGATGGATAAATGACTAAGTTTTTGCTTTATCTCTCTAAAATGCTCTCAACTCTCTCTAAAATGTCAGATTTTTGGCTAAAAAATGAGCTTCAAGGGCTATAAATCGAAGTTGGGTCGGGTCAAAATTTAGAAAGAATGAAAGCTCTGACGGAGTTATGCGATCGCATAATAGGTATGCGGTTCGCATACCGGCCGCATAATTTGGCCTCCAAAGCTGGGCGTTACTGACCCGGTCTGCGGTCATTATGCGGCCCGCATACTTGTTCTGCGGTCGCATAGTGCACCGCAGATTTTCCTCAAATCTTGTCCCTCTCCTGATCCACTTTGCGACCATTATGCGGTCCGCAGAGTGATTCTGCGACCGCATAGTGGTCGCAGAAATGACCCTTTTTCCGACAAAATTTTTCTTTACGCATCGGTGCATTGTTCAACCCAAAAAGTACGAGCCGCGGCAAGCTACACCAAACCTTAATTTTCTTAGCAAAATTTCTCCGGGGTCGTTACACATAAGTCAATATCCGGTCAACCTTTTAAACTTAAATTCTAAACCTTGGAACTAAGTGTTCCAAATCATTTCAAAACCTCACCGGACCCAAACCAATTACCCCAACAAGCCAAATAATAACTGTAATTCATAATTTGAGCAAT